ATATTGTTTTGTAGGTCACTAAAATCAAGAATAGTAATTTGATCATTGTATCCAATTTGTAATAATGCATGGCATCCAGGAAGATAACAGGCTGGTATTCAACATATATTTACCAAAGAATGCAAATGTAACATCGGTCAAAGGAATTTTCATATACTTTTTAAACGATATTCTCGGTTATATTGTTTTCCTGCTTTTGAGTTTCAAGCAACAATATCATAAATCTTTTCTAACTAGTAATTTCTGTAGATGACAGATTCACTATCATGTTATTCGAATGTCTTTAGAAAATGGCGTATTCACATAAACTAATACCAGGGGGAAATGGACAACTATTTAAATGTTGCAAGTCAGAATGCAACACACAAGGACTGGGTGATGAACCAATTGTACAATCACGTTCAGTCTATTTCACAGAACAACTTTCTGAATTCCGATTATATTTTATTATATAACATACCACACAGATACATCTGAATATACTGTTATACAGATAGAATCAATCAACATAAAAACATTTTGAATATACACCTACAATCAGTTTGGTCTTTCTGTAGTTAATCAGATTTTCAGAAATTGTTAATTACTAATGACCATTGTTTTGATAATCTGCTAACTAAGCCAACTGAGGTCCTGTGTAAATCAATGTTACTACGACTCTGCGCATACTTCGGAAATAAATGAATGATCAACTCGTGGACATTAACATGTGGACATTAATGTTCTTTTATCGGTAATTTTCAAAAATACCCTCTACTTAAAAATGGGTTTCTTTACTGGAACTGAAGCACATGTTTGTCTTCAAAGTAACACTGCTGTCTGAGTAATATAAGGTATCCAAATATAATGATAGTTAATTGAAAAATCTGATTACAAAACAATATTATCAAACTCCAGACAATTCAACAATTATTAGACCAGGAAATCATGAAAGCTCCTTTGTTAGACAACTCAATCATAACCAGACAAGTAAACTCAATGCATTAAGGGAATATTCCTGAATAAATTCTACGTATCTGTAGTATTTAATTGGTAGCTTCATCTGTGTTACTGCTGGCATCAATTTCTTATAAAAAACTCCCTTTCTGTTATGTTTGAATTTTGAAAGATCAATAAAATCTGTGTATTTAATTTGTGTCACCCTTTTTTTCAAGTAACTCGAATGACGTGTGATCTTCTGTAATGACCAAGCCCGCGTTCTACTGTTTTCAAATTAATTCCAGGAAACAAACATTTTCCAAAAGTATACAATACGGTTAAATACAAACTGCAGAATAATCTATGAAAGCAAGACAAAAACACTGCTGGAAATGATCTCAATGCTGTATTGCTTCACATAATCAATCCATTGTTCAGAGTTTACATATCATTGATATCACCATAGAGTTCACTGTCGTATTGGCTCAGTTGACAACCTATTAAAACAATAATATTTAATTCATTTATATACACTATGTATGCATGTCATTTGAATCGTGAATATAAATCTACTATAAACCCAATACATTTCCATCGTCGCTGAGTTCTTTCTATTACTGCACCGATAGTCGCTCTTGTTTTTATCTACAGTCATCAGTAAACAAAACTATGATCTTTTGAGAGATTAATTATATTCTAACTTACGAATGATGCACAACCATCAAAGGTGTGACGTTGCTATCATCCAGCTACGTCATTTTGACTTGTATGACATATGTATTGAATAATGCATGTACCTCTTCCTGTCTATTAATGTATCTGATTTCTTGAACCAGTTCGCCAAATCCAGGACGACGTTCTATGTTCTTGTTCCAAGAACGAAGCATCACAGTGAACCTGCGTGGTCAAATTGATAATAGTTAAACATGTCACCAATATATAGATTGCTTCAAAATAAACAAAAATGCATTAATAATTCTTGAATTACAAATTTTTATTAGCAGTTTGTATTGTTAATACTCCGAGAACCACGATTCGCGTTCAGGCCCGCTTGACGGATCATGCGTGATACAAATCTGAGTTACATATACTCACAGTTCCTGGGTACAATGAGGTGGTTTTTCCATACGGTAGCCTTTAGCAACTTGTTCGGTGATTTCTTTGTTCTTCATTCCGGGGTAAGGTAAAGCACCTGCAATAGACGTGGCACATTATTGCCAGAGAGATTATAGCGTATAACACATGGCTGACTGACACACGAAAATAAACATACCTAAGGTTACAATCTCCCATAACAAAATCCCGAAGGACCAGACATCTGTCTTGAACGAGAAAATGTGGTTGCTAAGAGACTCTGGAGCCATCCAACGGATCGGCAGACGGGTCTAAAACAAAACAAAACGAATTGAGTCTAAGATAATTAATTAATTTAAATTATTTATTTATTTATATTTTCACTATTTAACTGTGCATAAGGTAATCTTTTACAGATGAGATAAAGGAAAGTTATTTTCTAACAAACCTACCTCTTGCTTGTCTTTCACTTCCAGTTTGTCAGTTTGAATAGCTTTAGAGAACGAACCAATTTTGCAGATTTCATTATTACCAACAAATACGTTTCTTGCGCCAAGTTTACGGTGAATGATGCCTAAGCTACTGACATGCTCCATGCCGCTGGCTACTTGTTCGGAGAATAGCAGCAGTTTCTGTGACGTCAAGGTGTCACTGCCCTCAAACAGGTTACCGTATACGTCGTCCGGACGGTCAGGATTCGATTGGCGGCTACGGCGTAAAACTTGTGACAAGTTGTCATATTGTGCGAATTCCATGATGATGCTCGGCTTGGCTTTGAATGGAAATGTATTATAATTAGGATGTGTGTTTCAGTGTTTGGATA